GCCACTTCCGGCTTTTTTCTTTTGGCTTAGGTGGTGCTGAGGAATTGAACCCAGGGCCTCAGGCATGCAAGGCAAGCGCTCTACCACTGAGCCACCTTCCAAGCCCCTGTTTGCTTTTTTTGAAAACAGAGTTTTTTAAACTTCCACTTGAGCTCAGGGCCTGGCATTGTCCCTAAGCTGTTTTGCTCAAGACTAGCACTCTAGCATTTGAGCCATAGCTCTACTTCCGTTAAGAATATAGGGTATGCTTCATAGGCTTTTTTTGTTACACAGTCTAACCTACCTATGTTGTATCTTTCCTAAATTTCAGATTAGTGTTATACTAGTTTACGTCTATTATAAATTTCCTTTCTAAAGCAAAACTTAAGCAGTCATTATGCACTCTGCAACAAATAAAATCTAATATTAGGCAAAACACGATTCAATGTCTAATCTGGAGTGGACATCCATGTAAATTTTTCTCATGAGTCTTTCATAGTTTCTTATCTTCTTTTCAGTACAGTACCTAGATCACCCAGGATTTCCCCCTTTTTATCCTCAAAAATGCTCCATTTCAGCTTTTTGAGATAATGCTCACAGTCCTCCAGTAGTGTGTATGGCTGTGTAAGGAGACAGAGTCTCTTGGGATTAAATGCTTCTAAACTGGTGTCCACTCAGTCCTCCTCATGGTAGTCCTAACTTTCATCCTCTGGCCCATAAGTTGCTGGTGCTTTGAATTCTTGTGCTCTTTCAAAATTCCAGACAGTAAATTGAGGTTGATTTTCAGGGTTCCCCCTCCTCCCCCCATAGCTACTTTTCACTTTCTGTGTCAGCATTGAGAAAAAAGCCTGGATAGACCTTGAACCTTCAGTTTGACTATGCCTTTACATGAAAGAGAATTTCAACTCCAAACAGACCGGGTCCGAGCAAAATACACTTTTAATTGGAAATAGGCAGACCTATGTTCATTTAGCAGAATTAAGTGTCCCTCCCATCAACAGAAGTGTGGGGCTCACTAGAAAGAGTGAGCTATAAAAATGAAAGAAGACAGTTCCCTTTAGTGTGGCTATGCCAAAGGAGGAGCTGGCCCTCTGGTTGAAAGGTTGATTTTTCAACTGAATTTAGGCATTTAAAAAATGTTTTATGTATGACATTTTGAGATATTGAGATATGGAGCTAGAGGAATCCTGGAAATTTCTTTCTGACATGCATCATAATAGTTGAAACAAATGAAGACCACCGCAGAATAGTTACAATACAAGATTGTTATTTGGTGTTTCCTATAATTGCCCCTCCTCTCCAATCAACCATCAAAGTAAGACAACTAGACCCTCCTAGTCCCCAGTATCTTGGTGTTTACACACAGGATGCTTGTACTAAAACTGTAAATGGTGGACAGTGACATAGAAAAAGTGATTGCTTTACAAAAGCCTCCCATTTCGTCTCAATAAGATAACGTCTAAAAGCTTTGGCCTCAGGTCTGGGGGCTCCTGCTCTAAGCCAGGGTTGAGTGTGTATGGGTGCGGGGGGCTGCGTGAGTGTGTGCCAAGAGCTTAAGCTTTGGGGTACAGAGTGACTGTGTCGTAGCCCTCTGGGGGCCTCGTGCGAGCTCTCGCGTGAGTTTCACAGTACAGCTCCCCCTCCACGAAGAAGTAGCCCTTCTGTTTGAGGTTGAGATTGCAGTCAGCGCACACGAAGCACTCAGGATGCCGGTATTTATCTCTGGCCTTCACCACGGCACCACTGTGGGGAAATCAAATTCAAGTGAGAGACTCAGAGCGGCATATAGGACCCCTAAGACAGGAATTAGCTGGTTGGAAGCAGCCTCCAGCTGTAACATTGTGCACCGCTGGCACAGGCAAATGAAGACAGCTGTCTATCACAAGCCATCGTAGGCTGCCCTTAGACCCTGATGAGTAGTTTTCAGATCCTCAAACAAATACTCTATAGAAAAAAAGTAGGGTCTTGCCTGTGGTCATGCCTGACCCCTATTTCTCTCTAAGAGAGAGATGTGAGCCAGGTGCTGGTGGCTTAGCCTGTAATCCTAGCTAATCAGGAGGCTGAGATCTGAGGAGCATGGTTTGAAGCCATTCAAGGCAGAAAAGTCTCAGACTCTTATCTTCAATAAACTACTCAGAAAAATCCAGGAGTGGAGCTATGGCTTAAGTGGTAGAGCACTGGCCTTGAGCAAAAGAAGCTTTAGACAGTGCCCAGGTCCTGAGTTCAAACCCCAGGACAAAAAAAAAAAAAGAGGGAGAGGTATGTCAAACACATCCTGCAAAGGATTCTGACTTTGAGCAAAGTTGTGGGTTGTCTATAGGCCCTATCACTTGAGCCATGCCCCCAGTTTTTTTGTATTCTGCTTCTGAGATAAGATTTGGGTAATTTCCCCCTTAATTCATGATTCATAATTCCTGATTCCCTGGCCTCTTGCCTCTTCCTTCTCCTGGGATTACAGGCATGCCTCACCTCACCATGCCTGGTTGCTATATTTTTCTTTTGGTCCCCAATTTCTTTTCTGGTTCTAGTCAGACCCATCCTCCATTGCCCTCTTACATGTACTTTAGATAACAGGACAGATATTTCCTGCTGAGGACAAATGCTGCCTACGCTCATGAGGGGAGCAGATAAAAGGTGGATGCAATCATGTGGGACACATGAAATGGAGAGATGAAAATAATTTTGTTCAATTAGAGATTTGAATTAGCAAATGTGGCTTTTAAGCATGATGTCCCTTGGAATGGGATGTGAATGTATGCCTTAAACTTATTTATTTAATTGCTGTCTAATTTAAAAATTAGGTAAAGATAGTTTGTGTCAGGGAAAAACCTGAAGACCTGTTTATATGCTTCCTTGGATTTATACAGAAAGGATGTTCAAAGATTATCCATTAACAAAAAGAGAGTTTTTAAAAGTGCAACCATGGTTCTTGATATTATTTTTATACACACATTTGGACCTTTCTTTGGTACTGGAATTTGAACTCATGGCCTTGAGCTTTCTCAGTTTGTTTGGCTGGCACTTTACCACTTGAACCATGCCTCCAGCAGGCTTTGTTGCCTAGGCTGGATTTGAACCATGATTCTCAAAATCTCATTTTCCTGAGTTGCTAGGGTGCCTAGCAGGTACACTTTTTTTTTCAAGAGTATTTCTGAAAGTAAACCAAAATTTGATTCATATTATATGCCAATCTGGCATTACAGCTAAGCAACCATCAAAATATTATACAGGTAATTAAAGTCAAGGAGTTGAAATTGAACTTTTTCACAATTGTCTTTCCTGTATAAGGTCTTAACGTTAAAAATGAGACGTACACAATGCCACTCCCGCACTTATCACAGAGGGGCATCCTCGGGGCACTGCCAGCACCTCCGTGGGGCTTGCTAACCGGAGCTCTCACACTTCGGGTCCCAGCTGGACGGTCATCTGAAAGGCAAAAGTGTTTTTATTTATGGCAAGAAGCAAACGGCTCCTGCATGGTCTTTGTCTCTACTTTACCTCAGGCACTTTAAGGAATCCTTAGTCTGAGGATTCCTGCACCTGCACTGTCATTTTAGAAGGAGCGGGATGGGGAGGAGACTTGGTTCTTGCAAGAGAGCTTTTCAAAATGGAATCCGTAACCAGACGGTGTTATTGGAGGGAGCTGTTTCAAATGCTCAGATCTACAGAAGTCATCTCTCTTATGAAGATCATGGGTAACAGAGAATGGAGAGTTTTAACCACTTTTAAAGGTGCAGGTCAATGTCATTAAGTCCATCCACAATGTAGAAAACCACTAGTCTCCTTTCCCAGAATGTTCCCAACATCCCTAGCCAGAAACTTGCTCCATCCCTTCCTCCTCACAGCCCCTGGCAGCTGCTATTGGATTTCTGTCACTCTGAATTAGTCTATTCTAGACATCTCATGTAAGTAGAATCAGAGAATCTCATCCTTGATGTCTGGCTTCTCCATTAGCATAATGTTTTCAAGGATCTGCCATGTTGCAGCATGTATCAGCATGTCATCCCTTTTGAAGACTGAATAATATTCTATCATATGTATATATGTTATATGTTAGGTATCATCTGTCAATAAACATTTGAGTTTTGCTGCCCTCTTTAGTTCTTATGAATAATGTGAACATTGGTGTACAAATACCTATCTTTTTTTCTTTTGGGTGCATATCTAGGTGTGGAATGCCAGATCATCTGTGAATTTGATGTTTATTTTTTTTGAAGAACCATCATTCTGTTTTCCACGATGGCTGTGCCATTTGGCATTTGCACCAGGAAGGGACAAAAATTCCCCTTAGCTCCACATCCTTACCAACATTCATTCCCATTTTTTTTTGTTAGAACCTATCCTGATAGGGCATTGTGTATTTTTGCCAGTCTTGGGGCTTGAATTCATGGGCCTGGATACTGTCCCCGAGATTTTTTTTGGTGCAAGGCTAGTTCTCTACCACTTGAGCCACAGCACCACTTCCAGCCTTTTCTGTTGATGTGGTACTGAGGAATTGAACCCAGGGCTTCATGCATGTTAGGCAAGCACTCTACCACTAAGCCACATTCGCAGCCTGTTTTTGTGGCTTTTATAGAAAAGCATGTATCTTCTGGGACATGAAAGCATCGGTTAAAGTATAAGCCCAGAGGAGGGCAGGAGCAGCAAGCAGCCCAGCTTACTGTCTGTGTGGCTTTGTACAAGCCCATCTTTCCCATGCCTCAGTGTCTTATTTGTTAAATAGGGAACATAATAACTGCTCCTTCATTGACTTATTATGAACCTTAATGAGAATGTATGCCAGGTATTTCACACAATGCAGAATACAGTAAAGGTTTGCTATTAGAATTAGTTTTTGATGGTATTGGGGTTTGAACCAGTCAGGGATCACTATGATTTATTTACTTTTCCTTGAACATGGATGATAGCCTAAAGGATGAGGAGAAGCTGAGAAGTTACAGCATATTTGTTTAAAATGGAATCTTATGATGCTAGCCCACGACTACCATGGATGGAATGTATCTCTGGTGCTTTCAACTATATTTTTGTGAATGACTGGCTTCATTTTGTGGCTCTCTGCACATGTCCTGCAAACTTTTCCTAAACAAGACGTTGCCCAAGTCCTGCTGAGCACAGGTGCCCTTGCTGGCCCATGAAGAAATCACGTGGAGCCTTCGATCTCAGTGCGTCGCTGTCCCTCCCTCCCACGCCCTCCTGGTAACATGGGGATCAGAACGTTTTAGCAGATGCTAATGGCTGCTCACCTGCACCGTCATTCACTAACTCCTGGAGAACCCTGAAGGAGCCGGATTGGCGCGGCTGGGTAGGTTCATCTCGGTTGTCATGGAGCATCCGGTACACATCTGATTGAGGGGGCACCGAAGCTGTGGGTTCACTGAAACACAAGGACTCAAGGTGAGGCACCATTAGGAGATCTGAGAGCAGACACCCCAAGCATCAGCACGCTGTCTACAGCTGGGCAGGGGTTTTCTTCCAGCAAACCTCTACTCTAATGGAAGATACAATGGGTTACTTCAAAAACATCATAAAGCAACAACTTTGGAGTCACCTCCACACTTTTCTGTCCCACCAAAACATTTTGGAGGGCAGTCAAAGGTGACTGGTTAGGACTCGACAATTTTACAAAGCAAGTCTGTGTATGGATGTATAACATTATACATATGAACAAAAGTAACTTTTCTCAGAAAAATGATGACAATCCAGATATAGATTGGGAATGAATCCAACTGGATCATTCACAGTCATAAAGGTTGTAATAACATTCAGATTTATTTTGTTATTAAACTAAGATTATGCTATCATCTCACTTGTAAATTGGTGAAACTGACTTATCAGGGTTGAAAAACATCTAATGCGGAAACTTTTATCTGTACATCAGTCAAACTGATTAAATAATGTATTTACAGTAAGCACTTTATTTACAATGACAGCTGCTTTGTTTTAATTTTATATTTACAAATAGAGTCATGATAATTAAAAATGCCACCATAGTATCATTTGTCAGGCAATAAATATTATCTAGAGAATATGGTTTTAACTTCACATATTTTAATTGTGCATATCTGAAAATAAGCATCTTTATATACAAGAAACTGGTTGCAAAATGACATAGTCTATTATTAGCCTGCTGTATTCACCCTGAGGCATTTTGGGGAAATTGTTACATAGCACACACAACCATTTATAAAAAGTGACTTTGCAATATTGAAAGAAGTAATAATCTCTTCTTTTTTTTGAGGGTGGGGGTCCAGTCGTGGGGCCTGAACTCTGGGCCTGGGCGCTGTCCCTCAGCTCTTCAGCTCAAGGCTAGCACTCTACCACTTGAGCCACAGC